CACAATATGCTATTCATTAATGTCATTCATTACCATTCATTTTTCATATACATGTTAGTCAATTCAGAATTGAAAAGGAAAACTTTAAGTACTTAGTACTCACACGTACATCATGTTATACATGGTAAATATTGAGTGACTATAAAAAAAATATACGCAAAAAAAGATAAAGAAAAACAATGAAAGATTAAAAATAACCTGCTGCTCTTTATATTTTTCGCAAATATTTAATTTTATATTGAGATCATATAGACAGGGCTATAGGGCAACACTTGTGACACATTTTTTTTTTTTCAATAATTACGGTTAGAAATGAGAATAGAAATTAGAATTTGAGTTTTAGAAGATAATAAAGACAACACTCTTATTTTAAATTTATAAAAATTAGAAATGTTGTATAAACAAGTTCGACTTATCAATTTTAGACTAAATTTTTTAATGTGCATCTGGAATTTTTCGTTAGATGGTCGCAAATATAAAATTTATTCTCCGATAAGTGAACAATCTTATCTGTTATCCTTGGATTCTATAATTAAACATTATTCGGTTTTGAATTTGGGATAGCCTAATATTTTATTGCAATCGAATAAACGGCAAAAATATTTATTTAAATTTAAATTATTTGTAAATAAAATTCTTAATGCTTTCATTACTTTATATTTTTCAGATTCGATACATATGAAACTTATTTGGATTAATTTTCTTTAATAACGCAATAAAATTTCACAAAAATATTACCTACACTGAGAGAAAAAGGTCTGTCAAATCAAAATTATGGTCGGTTAGTGGAGCATGTCCTCTGCCATGTTACGTCTTGGAAACCAAGTGATATATCTGATGCGGCAATGTCCCATCTCTCTGTTGTCTTTCCTAATAATGAGTACCCCGTCAAAATTCCAACCGTAATACTGAGGTTTCTCCAGCTTAATATCATCTTGCTTCGACCACAAAGATTTTGTTCCCTTATTTTAAAAATTTACGAAGTTTAATTTTTCAAATTGGTTTCAGTGTACATATAGATTTATGTATGTGTGTATATATATTCAAATATGAAATTTTTTTGCTTATTATTAAAAAAGTTATAGTTTAAATTTTTATTTTCTTTTTATTTATTTACATTTTAAGTTAATGCCCCTTTCCAAACCAAATACAAAGAAAATAAAAAAAGTAAAACACAGAAAAAAATTATTCACCAAAATTGATCTCATTTTTTTTTTTTTTTGATTGAGAGCAAAATTTATTTAATTGATTTGCGCTTATTTATTTTCTCAAACATATTTATTCAAGCAAAAACAAAATACATAAAAATTATTATTGAGTAAGCATCAAGTTGATCTCAATAAAAAAATTATGTGCCGCTAATATGTTGAAATGTATGTAGATACGATTGAATAACATGGCTCTGAATTGCAAAGATCAAATTAATAATAAAATAAAATTGAATATACTTATATACTTTATATGTGCAACCATATGATATTGTGAATATATAAAAATTTAAGTGAATTTATGAGTTTATGAAAGACCCAATAATAAATTGCTTTATATTGAGCAATAAATATTAAGAAATCTTGTGATTTTAAGTAAAAATTGAAGTTTGAATTTTATCTACTCAAACATTTATATTAATGTATTGACGGTATACAATAATGTAACGCATTGAGAAGAGATTATTGATCTCTGTAATTAATTGGCTTAATAATTAAATAGATGCCAGTACTTTTTTATGTTCAATATTAAATATGTGTGTGTGTGACGCAAAATGACACAAAATAATTAGAACAAAAGCTTTATTTAAAATTTCGCATTAAAATCTACTGATATAACAGCCCGCTCTATTTAATTGTAATAGATTATAATTAATTATGTATGGATGTATGTTGAGTTCTTAATTTATGAATAAATTATGAATGTATTATAAACTTGTGTTGTACAAGACTGGGATTAGATTAAAATATGTGCTCTAAATTTAATTAAAATATAAGTGTAAATTAATAAGAAAGAATATTTTAAGTAGAGAGGAAATATGTATGTACATGTCTATATCCGTTAAATCTATTTAATCAAATTAAAACTTTATTGACTAAAAGTTCATAATATATGAAATTTTTTGTATAAAATAATTAATTGTATAAAATATGGTCATTTAGAACAAAATATTAATGATGATGCAGCAGATTTTAAATATGAGCGTAAAATAATAATCATTTGTGGTTGCTTTTTTTAGTTATTATTTTAATTGTGATAATTCTTAGTTCTAGAACAAGGGATTTAGAATTAACAATTTAGAATTTCAATTGAAATTGTTTGTACAATCTAATAAAATTTTAAAATTTTCTTCTTACTTTTACGAAATATTGCTCAAAATCTGCTGTATGTAATTGAGGAATCTCCCATAAAACCAAACCAAATTTGACTAATTCAAATTAGAAACTGAAATACAAACTAAAAGTAGTATAATGCAATTAAAAAAACAATCATATTAATTCTCAGACATAAGATAGACAATATTTCATATTTTTAGCAAAATGGGAAGTTTTTATTATGAACCGCAGATTTAATAGCGCATTTTTTGTTAAAATATCATATAGACTTTCTGCAGACGACAGACATATAGAGTGATGATATCTTTTCTCATTTTTTGATTTATTACTTCTCATATATGTACGTATGTGTTCGTATTTAATAATGTGAAAATCAAACAAAAAACAGAAAGTTTTCCTTTAAAAATCTCTTCAAACAATATTCAACATTCACGTACATATACAAAAAATAACCACGGTTCTATAAAGAGAGCTCCGAGGAATTTCCTGTTTGAGATTTTTTATTTATTTTTTTCTCATATCTTTGTCATTTTTGAATACAAAATGAATCATAGTTTTTGATAGCAATAAAAAAAAATATTTTTTTTATTATTGTTGTACTGTCTACCATTTTTGTTTTTCTTCTTTTTAATTAACAAGTCATCACATGTTTTGAAAAGAATGTACCTCTTTCTACATTTCTTTATTATGATTTAGATTTAGAACTTGCAAAATTTTTTTCATGGAAATATTTTCAAATTGTGTTGGAATATTTTGATAAAAAAAAAGAAACATTTTAATGATAGAGTACGTAAAAATTACAGGTCATTCCCTGTACTAATACAATTGAAAATCATGACAGTTTCCATGTGACATCACGAAACATTATGAAATATTGCCTTAGACAAAAATCATAACTATTACACAAACGAATTCTTAGTATGACACGAATGGTATGATTCATGACACTTCAGCTACAAATTCATATTTTGACGATAATCATAAATAATTTGACATAATATACGTCATAATGAAAAATGTCAATCCAATTTTTGAATTTAATGTCCGAATTTCGAAAATTTTATGTCATTTGTTAATCAAGTCTGTACAGTGACTCTTCAAAATTAGTTCGATTCATTCAATAATAACAAGAATTTTTTACTTCAATTTATTAACGTTGAACTCTAATATCATGGAACTTGATTAGTTTTCATTTCACAGGCTATAAATAATTTAATTTAAAAACGAAATTTGCACATTTTTTCAAAAGTTCTAGAATTTTTTTATTTAGAAAAAAATTTTTACGATAACAAAAATTGCATAATGGTAAAAAAAAATTGCATACCATTGCTGGTATTTAATTGGCGTTTCAATTCTAATTACTCGTGTATGTAAGTAGTTAAATTTCGTTTTCTTTTAATTAAAGGTTGTATATTTTTATTTACTTACTAACTGGGGGGATATGCGCATTTTATTATGATAATCAAAGAAACTTTTTGTAATATTAAAGAAAACCTTGAAAAGAATATTTATCGATTTTGTATTAAAATAATTTTTTTCTAGTGGCGGTTCTGCAGAAAAATGATTGTTGTTTAGTTGATTGATAATAGCAATAAGTAATTTTTTTCACATACATGCAATTAATTTGTTGATTGCAAACCTAACGTATTGCCAGATATAGGTACGAATTGCTTGTTTTCGAATTGGTATGCCTTTCCGTAGGCCTTCCTGTATAACACTGAAAATTAAATTGTAAATTTTATATATTCAGCCATCTACCGGAATAAATTTAAAATTGATTTAATGTTGAAATTAATTTATTATTAGTTAAAATATTCATATTAGATCTTGAATCTCTAAATGTAACTAAAATTTGCAGAAAATTTTGATTGATTCGAAAAAAATACAAAGCTTTTGAAATTCATCAGGGCTCATTTAATCATCTTTTGTTCGAGGAAGTTTTAAATGGAGTTCCGTAGGTACTTTCAAATATTACAATGCATATAATGCAATTTCGTGTACATGCACATATAACTATAGAAATATTAAATTTTAATTAGAATTTCCGTATTTTTCATTGATATTTATTCAAATATTTATTTAGTTGGCTAAATGCCAAAAATTATTTGAAATTCAATATATTTTTTAATGAATTTTTTTTTAATATATTTTGCAATATTAGAATAATAAGAAAGGTTGCCTCTTTTGTTTGCTATTATTTTTTATTTTGTTTATAAATCGCAGATTTTTATCCCTTGTATAGACCTTCAAATATTTAAAATTGAAAAATGTGGTGAATTCAATTATGCTTGTGTTTTATGATTGTATTACCCGCTTGGATATTATTAAATTTCCAAGGTTATAAATATAAAATTTGTTGCAACATTGTGGGCAAATTTGTTTTGAATCCGATTAAATTTTAGAATTTAAGGATTTAATAATGAAAATTTGAAGATTTCTGAGTGCTTGCATTAGTCCAAATATTAGGAAATATTTAATTAAATAGAATTCAACAAAGATTTATTCTTGTCAAGAATTTTTGAATTTTCTTAAATGCTATAAATTTCAATTGAAAAATATTGTAATTCGGCAACAACCAAATCAGTTCGATACTATGACTAATATTTGAACTTTTAAATAGCAATTCAACTCTATTTTTAATATTAAATCAAAAATTTTATTAAATTGTAATTTTAGATTATTACAAAAAATCATTACAAAACATTAAAAGTACAATTTAATTAAAACTAATAATTTATAGTGAATATAATAATAAAAATGAAAATATGGATATCAAAAATAATGAAAATATACCAAAAGATACTCTGACCCCATCACAGCAAATTGAATCTCCAGAAAACCCAGACTTAATTATTGCTGAAATTCCAAATAGTAGTTCAAATATATTAAGAAATAATTCAAATACTGGCATTGCTGATATGAAATTAAGGTCTACAGACGAAAAAATCCAGAAAGAAGTTGAAGAAGGCTCGAATTTTAAAATGGAAAAATTAATTGTTATAGGATTAAATTCTACTTATAGTAAAGAAGATGAAAATTTTACTAAATCGGAAAATTTAACTCAAACAATTGAAAATCTTAGTCTTAAAATTGATGAACCAAATAATGATCAAATTCCAAATGAAATTAATGGTCCACATGATGAAATATCAAAACAAATTCCAAAAGAATCAAAAATGGATTTAACTGCTAAGGAAATCCTTAGTAATGACTTACCAGATGGAAATTTAATTAATAAAATTAAAATAAATGAAAATATTGAAAATTCTTCTAATTATAAATCAATATCAACCGACATTGATCCTAAAGTTATGCAATATTTAAAAAATATTCCACCTACAAAACTTGAAATTATTAAAAATAATGAAGAAATTTCAAGTTTTTCTGATTCCAATATTGAAATTCCATTAAAAAAATCTACAACCAAATTAGCATTACCATCATCATCACAAATTAAAGCTGGTGTTAAAAAATCATATAGTTGTATTGGTAAATTTAATCAGGAACCAATTGATAAAGATGATTTTTATTATAAAGTTGTTGATAAAAAATTAATTAAAGAAAATAAAAAATTAAATGATGATACAAGTGCAAATGAAAGTTGTAATAGTGATAGTCAATCATCATCAAATTCATCATCATCACCAAAATTATTACGTGACAAAACAATGCAATCTAGTATTAGACCAAAATCAACACCAGCTTCATCTTCTACACAAATTAATTCAATATTAACACCGGGAACGGAAAAGAAATTAATTTCAAATGCTAGTACAAGTACTACTGGTGGTGGTAGTAATGGTGGTGGCAGCAATAGTAGCGGTGCACCAATTATGAAACGTGAATCATTCATTAGACAAAGTTTTAATCGTTTATTCCGTAAGAGTAGTAGTGCAAGTGCTAACAGTAATAATTTAAGTACATCATCAAATAGTAGTAATAGTAGTTGTAATAGTGAAAAAATTAATAATACAAATAGTGTAGAGAAATTTTTTAATAGTGTAATGGGTAATAATGATAGTAGTGGCAGTGGCAGTAGCAGTAGCGGTGGCGGTAACAATACTACCGTTAATAATAATAATAAAAAAGATAAAACAAAAGCAAATCATAATTCAAAACAAAGTGATTTTATTGATGATTTTGAAGAAATTTTAAATAATTTAAAAAATGATAATATAAATTCATCAAACAATAATAATAATGAAAATAATATGAAATTTTTAAAACCATCATTAACAATATTTAAAGATTATTATTATGATAATAAAACTGGTATACGAATTTTAATTGAAAAAGTACCATCTGAAAGTGATTTAACAAAATTAAAAGAAAATTCTAATTCAACATTAAAAGAACAAATTTTAGGTGTTCGAAAAAATCATAGTTTTAATTTACATAAAAAAAGGTGAGTTTTTAAAATTAATTTTAATAAAATAATTCTTTTTTTTTGGAATTAATAAGATTAAATTGAAATATTAAAATTTGAGGTTGCTTTTAAATTGCAATAATGAAAAATCAATGCATAATTTATAATTTTATGAAATCTTGAAAAAATTAAATTGAAATTATATTGAAAATTGAACCGGATTACAAGTAATCGTGTTGCCTCACTGCATAACCTCCCGGATTGCAAGTAAACGTCTTACCTCACAGCATTACCTTCAGCACTACAACTAAACGCATTACCGCACAGCATTACCTCCAGAATTACGATTAAACGGTTTATCTCTCTGCAATACCTCTCGTATCGCAACTAGTAAACACAATACCTTCGTGCATTAATTTAATATAACTCGGTATTTCTCAAATAAACATCCCAGAAAATGAAAAAAAAATAGACCTTAGAAATTATTTCGTATTAAAAAATTACAAATTGTGCCAAAAACTTAATTGACAAATGCATTTTACATCAATAATTTAAAAAATTAGGTGATATTGGGCTTTGTATTCATAGAGATGTACTTCTACACAAACTAGAAATTTCATTATTAATATTAGAACATTAATAAATTCATAATGAACTCAATTATAGTCGTATTTCAGTAATTTGAAGCAAATTTTAATTAAATTCTGAGCATATAATTTAAAATTATTAAAAAATTTAATTTGATCTTGGGCCTTATTATGTTATTCAAATTTCGTGGAACGATTTTCGATTTATTAGGGCTGCTGGTCTAGAATTACAAATATTATACGTGATTTTCCTCTACTTCAATAAAAATTCTAAATATACTGCTAGTATACTAGAATATTTCGGAATAAATTTCAAAGTAATTTTAATATTTTACAATAATTCTTTAATAAAAATTGCTTATTTCAATTGCTAGTCATAAATTCATTAAAATATTCTTAATGACAATATTCCGTATAACAGATTTAAATAGGTGAAATTGTGCACACTCGAATTGATATATGTATTTAAACATATTTTAAATAAAGACTACAATTGAAATATTTTATTTTTAATTTTTTTAAAAATTTTTCCATTCTTCCATTGAGAAAATTGAAATTTAACACCTACATTGTATTAAGCCTTAAACATTAATTTTCTACATGAATATTAATGTAGACACTTATACACCTATCTATTATACACAACTTTTAAATGACATCGTTAAAAACCATTAAAAATAATTAATTTTTAAGTGATTTTTAACATTATTTTCACATTTAAATTAATTATTTGTATATGTACATTTTCGCATTTTGTCTAATAGCCATGCTAACTCATATAATGTTGTAGAGTTGGAGAGAACGGGAATTGTAGTGTAGACTTGTAGAATATAAGAAAACACTAAAAGCATTTTAACACATTTTAGATTTCATTCAGATTTTAGCATTTTTTTTTTTTAATTTTTTAATCTTTATTACTTTTAATTATTAAAAATTATAAATAAAATTTAAAAAATATTGTTACAAACAAGAAAAAGAAAAATTGGAAAAAAATTTCACAAATATTTCATTTTGAAACTTTTTTTTAATGACAAATGCAAAGGGGCGTCGTCGTCATCTATTTCGTATAAGTGTTATACATAATTATAGGCACCTACTATGCATACCCCTATAGCTCTATTTATAAAAATTATGTATGAGCATAAAAAACAAGAATTCATTCTTTAAAAAAATAAATTTTTTTTTCAAAATATTTTCCAAACATATTGCGTTATAAGCATATTTAAAATTTTCAACATTTTCTCAAAACATATTTTTCAATGGACTTCTTTATTCAATTTTCACATTTAACAGATTTATTTTCTTTCACACGTACTTTACGCCTTATGTATATTAAAAAAAAAAACATGATTCAGAGAAAAATTTATGAAAAAAATGAAAAAATGGAATACTTTCTTTTTGAAACAAACAAAAAAAAAATATTCAATTCAAATGAATTTAAAAAAAGTGACAATAATAAAAAATACGTGTAGGTGTAAAAACACACATACCGTGTTGTAGTAAACAGAAAAAGTTCATTCCTTTTCAAAAGAAAAATATTACATATTACTTATATTATTATTTGTTATACGCGCAAACATTATAAGAAGATTATCATTATACATACTTTAAGAAGAGGGTGTAAAGGAAAGAGAGAAAATGAGAAGAGAAAAGGGAAATTATACAAGTATAATACAAATAATAATAACAAACATAAATAAATCATGACAGGAGTCATGCAGGATAGGAGCAGTAAATAATATTATAACAGTAATAAAATAATTTTAAAACGTGAATAAGAGAAAAATTTTTGTATGCTATAAAACAGCAACGAACATTAACATAATCTTATACAATATAATAGAATAGAGCATTAGCGTATAATAAATATTTTCGAATACTTAAAACATAATATCTTATATTTGAAATTATAATGAGATTATGTTCAGCTCTATCCCATATAATATTTATATGCAATATGGTATAGTAAATAAGATACACGTACACATAATTCATATTTCAGAGAAAAAAAAAACATGAATATTTTATGAGACATAATTACATTATAATATTATTACAATTATAATAGTTAATCATAATAAATTATAATATAACAGTTTTGCATAATTATTTATGACGTTTTCCTAAAAAGTTTTTGAATCAAAGTTAATGAGCTATACAACTATATAGTTAAAAGCTATAAATTAATAAATTAAAAATTTTAATTATTTTAATTGTAAGTCTTACACATGTTCGTATAACAAAACAATATTAAAATATACTTTAGAGCTTCTCCATGATGTAGTCAGACAATTTTGAAAGTTAATTCCGAAAATTTATTCCGAAAGTTAATTTAAATTCAGCAACTCATATCCAATCCAGCTGAATTTAAATTAACAACTGTATATAACTGTACTATGAAACTCAAAAATTAGTTACCCTAAGTATTCATAAAAACTATTATATTTGAAAGATTAAATTGAAAAATAATTGAAGAATTCTTTCAGTATTATAAATGAACTTATAAATTAATTACAAATTGTAAGTTATTAAAGATCCGTAAATAAAAATTATTTTATTTTCTTCAAAAAAAAAAATTTTTTTTTACATTTTACCCTATGAACCATAAAAGAAATTTTGGGTCATTGTCATTTTTAAATTTAAATATTTTAGTTCATCGAAATTCTTAAAATTTAAATAAAAACTAAATAAAAAATAATGTGAATAAAAAATTACTATATAGATAATTAAAATAATTTCTAAATTTTTTGAATAAAATAAAAAAAAAAATTTCAAATGTATTTGACATTTTCCAAGAAAAAAAACAACACAAAATCATAAAAAATTTTCTTTTTCTCATACGACCCTAAACAAATTCTCTTTTTATTAAAAATTCGATTTCATGTACACTCGTACATTTTAATACGTGTGCAAATAATATATGAACAAATTTATTATTACATATGTACACGTGTATAAATCTACCCAGATTTAAAACTAATATACATATATGTATAACAAAAATGTACGTGTAAATTTCAATAAAAATATTATTTATGTGAAATTAATTTGAATCAAATTGAATATTTTCACTCTTTTGTATATCATTTGGATTTTTCGTTTTAAACAAGAATGACGTGAAATCACAACAATTTATTTGTTATACACTGATATACAAACGGATATACACAGTATGTATGTTATTTTTCGTGAAGCGTCTTTTTTTTTTTTAACATTTTATTCAACAGAATTCTGTATAGAAAATAAAAAAAAAAATGATTTAATGATCATTTTAAATTACTCAATTTTTCTATTTTTATTATACAAGTAAGTATAATGTTCTATATAACACCTACATTTTTATGTTATATTGTGTCGTACGTTCCGAATATTAAAATAAAAAATTGTGATAAAATTATAAAAATGATTCTTAAATGTTGTCTGTTATACAAGACAACATTGTGTGTCGTATGTTTGTGTGTATATGAATAGAACTTAAATTGTTTATTTTAAATATATTTAGGGTATAGTGTAATAATATTGAATGAATAACAGTTTAAAATTATTATTAATATTTTAATATTCAAATCAAATACATAATATAAATATATGTATGTAGGAATAAAATGGATAACAACTTTTTAATTTCGGTAACAGCCATCAATTTGTTACAACTTACGAGTATATATATACAACATAGATTAAATTGATTTAATACATTATGTATGATATGTTATGTATGATATGTTATGTATGACATATTATGTATGATATTTTACGATTAAATATTAATGTTGATTATTTTATTGTAAGCAGAAAAAATTATATTTTTTTTTTTATTACAATTAGATTGATTTTATAGCATGATCTAATTCAATGTTTAAATAAATATTTTAATGTATGAAAAGCGATTTCATACTTCATACTTTAAAATTTTCATTCATACTTTAAAAAAATTTGAGAGAAATTAAAAGAATTAAATTAATTACAATACCAAATCAGGATTAAACGTATTGGTTTTGAGTGGTTGAAAAAAAATATAAGCTCAAATTTAACTTTAATTTGATTTATCCGGCAACCGGGCTCAATAAGACTGTAGTAATTCAAATCTCTTCTCTATATGGACGTAATTCATATTTGACCTTCCTAAACTGGCAGAATATTAAACATAACTCCAGAAATTTCTATATAAATGATCTCTCAATTAATTTTATCGAAAACCATAACACTTATGTGTTATACAAGTCTTAAAATTTTAGCAATTTCTGAATTTTTTTTTTAAACCCTTAAAAATATTTTGTTACAAGCAATTTTAATTTCAATTTTAATTTTAATTTCTATGAATTGAAAGCGATATGAGGCTAAAAATGTGGGCAGAGAAAGAAAGATAGTGACAGAATTCCTTTCTGTACGTAAAATAGTTTTTGTGATGAAATTTTTTACTCCCTCAACCCTTATTATTACATATAATTT